GGGTATGGGTGGGTGGCTGGGTGGCCAGTTGGGTGGACGGGGGTGCTTCGCGAGGACGAGGCGTGGGTGCGCAAGAGCGGTGCATCGTCGTGCCGTTGACTGCGGGCGGTGGTTGGGCTGGATTGCGGCATTTGACGCTGCTTGACTTTGAATCGTGCCACATCAGGGCGGTGGCGTCCTGATAATGTGCCGATGCGGCTCCCTCCCGGGAGCGCGTGTTGATCAACCTCCCCTCCCCGCCCCTCCCGCCATCCCGCAGGAACAAGGAGTGCCTGTCCCTGGGGTGTGACGAGGTTCCGCTGTTCTGGGGCCGCACCCCGGTGGACATGTACCGCGACTTTGTGGACGCCTTTGCTGACACCTTTGACTACCTGTTCGGTGCGCACGGCTGCGAGGTGGCGGGCAGGGGTCATACAGGATGGCAGCTGTGTGGGGTTCGGCCGCAGCCTTGGAGTCTTGTCACGCTCGACCTGCCGTTCAACCCACTTGGTGCCCCACTCGGAATCGGGTGTTGAGCGTCAGCGCCAGCAGGCCGGCCATTGAATGCAAATCGCCCACCCTGCCACATATACACACATACACACATACACACACACCACCCACCCTCTTGCACACCCAAACACCCCGCCCCCACCCCCCAGGCACTGTCATCACGGAGGTCACCGTGGGCATGGGCCCCGCGGGCGAGCTGCGCTACCCGTCCTACCCCGAGGGTGACGGGCGGTGGCGCTTCCCCGGGGTGGGGGAGTACCAGTGCTACGACAAGTACATGCTGGTGGGCGGTTGTTTTGGGGGGTGGGGTTGTGGCGGTGACAGGCAGCTGCTCTGGCGTTTGTGTGAGGTGCCTCGCCGGGTACGCAAGCCTCAGATGGAATTTGCAGGTGGTGGCAGGCATTGGCAGGCCCTGGCATAGGTGACAGCCTGCGGGGCCGCGCGGCGTCTGGCGCCGCTCCTTGCTCAACCTCTGCACGCGCGCCCCGCCCCTCGCTTAACGACAGGGCGACCTGCGGCGCGCGGCGCACGTGGCCGGCCACCCCGAGTGGGGCCACGGCGGCCCCCACGATGCCGGCCACTACAACAGCAAGAGCTGGGAGACCGGATTCTTCGTGAGCACACGCAGCGCACTCACACACACCGTGCACAGCTTGCGGCGCGTGCTTTCAATGCTTTACGCATACTGGACCGCTCCCACTCCCCGGCCCCTGGCGCCACTGGGCAAGGCTCCCCGCCTCAACCCACGCCAGTTGCAGCGTCGCCTCGTGCGCACGGGCTCGATGATTCCTTGCCTGGGGGCCACCTGCCTGACCTGCACCCAAGCCGCCGCCGACACCCACAACTTTTCATTGTTGCGCGACCACCTTGTTTGACCCCCCAGGGCGGCAACTGGCAGACCGAGTATGGGGACTTCTATCTGTCGTGGTACAGCGGGCACCTGGTGGCGCACGCGGACAGGATTCTGGGGGCGGCCGCGGCGGCGCTCTCGAAACCGGGGCGGCCGCGCATGCTGCGCAGCGCAGTGGAGGTGAGGACCCCCGGGCAGGCTGCGCGCCACAGATGGCGCGCCGCCGTTGGGCGCCACCACTGAACAGCACGGGGACACTCAGGGCCTGAAGTGCTGACTGCTCTGTGCCGTCGGAGGCTCAATCAAGTGGCGTCTCTGCGAGCGCTGGGAGCCTTCTGCAGCTCTGACAGCCCCCGAACCTGCCCTTCCCACAGCCATCACTTTCGTCACCCCGGGGCACCCCTCCTGCCGTCCCCTCCCTCTCCCCTCGCTCCACCTGTCCTCGTCCCACCCATCTCACCCTCATCTTCCCCCCTCCTACCTGCCCTTGTTCACCCCCCCCGGCCCCCTTCCCCCAACAAAACCCCAGCTTGATGACGGCCACGTGGTGTATGAGTTTGAGCCGGCGGTGAAGCTGGGGGCCAAGCTGGCCGGGGTGCACTGGTGGTTCAAGAGCCGCGCACACGCCGCGGAGCTGACGGCCGGCTACTACAACACGCGCGACTGCGACGGGTGAGAGGGGGGGGGGCAGGGGGTTCGGGGGACAAACTGGCACCCGCAGCGGGCCGCAGGCGGCACGGGGCGGCAGGAGAGCGTCTGCACGGGCGGCCCCTGGGCGGCCCCCGCTGACATCCGGCGGGACCCCCTCACCTCCATCACACCCTGCAGCAGCCCACCTGATCGGCGCTGCTTCACGCCCGATCTCGACGCCCCCTCTGGCAACCAACTGGCCCCTCGGCCCCTGTGCAAACCCTCCACTCCCCATTCTCCCAACCCTCCTCGCCCCTCCGTCCTCCAAACCCCCAGCTACGCGCCCATCATGGCCACCCTGTCCAAGTACAACGCGCGGCTGTCCTTCACCTGCGTGGAGATGCGCGACTGCGAGCACCCGCCAGAGGGGCGCTGCAGCCCGCAGGGGCTTCTGCAGCAGGTGCGGCAGGGAGGCGCACGCGCCTGCGGCCGCTCTTGCGCGGGCGGTTGTGGGACGGACCGCGCGGATGCCGCGTGCGTGTGCTGAGGCGCTGACTTGGCTTGGCGGGGCCGGCTGCTGCAGGCGTACAGCCGCCGCATCTGAGTGGTCAGGGCTGCTGGCAGGCAACGGGGCGGCAGCTTCCTGGCGGCGTCCCCCCACCGCGCCGCAGCGCCCTCCCTGCGCTCATCCCTGATCACTCGCCGCCGCCGGATCAGCCGCACGTTGGCGCCCTTCCAACACGGCCCCACAGCCATGATTGCCCCACATTCGCACTCGGCTGGCTGTCCCCCTCCCTGCCTCCCACACTGCAACACCGCCCTCATCTTCGAAACCCCCACCCCCCAATAGGTCCTGGAGTGTGCGGAGGCTCACGGCGTCCCCCTGGCGGGCGAGAACGCGCTGCAGCGCTACGACGAGCACGCCTTTGACCGCATCGCGGAGTCGGCCTTTGGCAAGACGGCGCGCAGCGGGCGGCTGGAGCAGCTGACGTTCCTGCGGATGGGCGACCTCATGTTTGACAACTGGGAGGCATTCTGCGCCTTCCTGCGGCGCATGAGGGGGCAGCAGGGCTGAGGGGCGCCCAGTGGGACCCCATGGTGGGGCACCCCCTGCCACGACCGCGGCGCGGGGGTGAGGCCTCACCGCTCCTCGGACCCGGGGCGTCGGCACCGTTTTTTGTTTGGGATGCGGCGCGTGCCGGCGCTGCGCCAAGGCGCGCCACGCTCGTCCGCGGCGCGGGGCGGTGCGCGCCCTTTTGCACGCCCCGCCCCTTTGCGCGCCCCGCCCCTTTTGCGC